AACAATCGGTGATGATTGTTTATTTGTTTATGATGATGCAATAAAATATTCCATTGCTGAGTAATTGTACTAGCGATCAACCACTTCGAGCAAATCGATATTGAAGGAAGGATGAAAAAGTGTTGCACAAGCATCAAATCTAACTTTTCCGTATCACCACCCTATGTCAGCAAATTAGGAAACATCAATTATACACCAATTTCTCCAATGAATGCACTAGACATATTTGAAAAATGAAACGGTTAAGACAAAAATTAAGTCTCCAGAAAGAGAACAGTATGGTGGAATTACCTGACAGCATCTGGATGTATATTTATATTCCGAACGATTCGTTCGACTGCAAATCTGATTTGTTCATCAAAAAGGTGAGCAACAGACTCAGAAGAGTCAACGATTAGGATCAAATCAAGAGGCTTATCAGATCCACGGACGCAAACTTAAATATACTGTCCAATTAAGTAATTGAACGAAACTTTTCATTTAATCTGCACTATCTTCGAAATCATTTGTGATTTTTAAAGAAGTTAGCAAAACGGTTCTTCTCACCTTCTACTTACCTATATATTAAATTTTTTCTTAACTAGCTCGTCGTTTTATAATGTCTTGAGAATTTACGATACCAGAAAAAGTAGAATTATGCTTAGATACTGACCCTTGATAAGTACCACACCGTACCGTTGAAAGAAAGTACGATACAGTAAGAAGCATGAAAATGACTATATTCTCGGTGCTAGCATGAACTTTCTGTTTCATATGGATGAAATCTGTACAAAATTAGTACTATGATCTCTTTTGAACTTCATCCTTTCTCTTCTAACTCATATTTAGGGTTAAAGTCAGATATTGTCAACATACCAGGTAATTTCTCACAAACTTCAGTACCCCGCCAGCGATCAAACATTGGTTCCAAATCGTCCAAATTTTGATTTGTTACAATTTTCTTTGGATCCTGCAAGTAGGGACAATTTTCTAAACTATGTTTGTTTTGTTTATTACAAAAATTGAAACAAAGAAAAGAAAACGAGGAGAAAAGGAAAAAAAGAAACGAAGATTTTATTCATAAACTGTTTCTGTTCTGTAATCAATGCACTTTTAATAACTTACTAATAATTTTTACTACTCAAATTCGATCTAATTTCTAATTAAAATCATTTAACAGAAATGAAGTGATATTTTGATGCTTCACTCAATACACCATTTTATAAAATTTCCCAAGAGCGATAAAAATGTCCAGGATCTGTAAAGGATATAAAAAGAGACTAAGAGGTAACAATTATGCTTTTTGATTGTTATCCTACCTTGGTAATAGCAAGCAATTCATTTATAGCAACATATTCACCAGTTCCATAAGCGTAGATGTCAACGTTGTCAATTTGTTGTCTCAGTTGTTCTGCCATTTCTGTATCCTTGGGATAATCATGCGTTCGACCGTCCGATAATAAATATATTATCTTCGGTACATCCGAAGATCTCATTCCCTTAAATTTTGCAAATTTAACTCTTTGCAGTCTTGCTTAGAAATTGGGCACTGTTTTAAAACTGTTCTGATGTAGAAATGTTGTTCAATTCATGGAATGCATTTTTAACAAAAATGACATCAATTCTTACATTTAGAAATTGTGCCAGAATTCGGGAAGACAGGATGACAAATTAGACTTAAACTGACTTAAATATCATCTAGCTAATGTGACAACGTTAATTTGTTCCTTGCACATTTGGTCCCAAATATTTGCTTAATTTCTTTCACAAAAACTTTTCAAAAACTTTTCCAAAATTTAAATTAATGGGAATACGAGTTAATAGTTTAAATAAAAGTTATGCGAAGATTTTGAAAACTACACATATTACATTTTTTTCATTCAGCATACTAAGAGTGTATTCAAATGCATCACCCATTCGTGTTATGCCTGACACATGCCTTAATACATCTAGGGCACCAAGAATATCGTCGCGATCTTTGAATTTCTTGAAATTAAACTCCAAATGTTGAACACCGCTAAAAAATATTTGGAAATTTTCTGGCCTTTTATCTTGGCTGAACTTTTAAAAATTTCCCAAAAACTTGAAATTTAGAATCCGACTTCAAAATTCCCAACACTTTCACAATATTTTTTTTTCAAAAAGCGATATGTACTATAAATTTAGGTAATACCAATTCGACAGCAAAGTATTGTTTAAATTAAAAAATGCAAAAAGTTAATGGATTTCTAAGATGGAAATATTTCGTGTAGCAGGAACACCTGAATTGTATAAGCATGACCCGTGTAGCGGGTTCTCCGATGGTAACATGATTGACAATCCGACGAATGATATCGATTTCGTCTTGAAATTTATTTTTCAATGAACCTGAGCTGTCCAGCATGAATACCAGATCCAGCGGTTCTGCTTTGACAATACATCGAGCTGCATATGCAAATTCATTAAACCAGAGATGAAATTTAATTCAAATGTCAGTAAAAGAGTAAAGAGTTCAATTCATTAGCAAAAGCTGTTTCTCTTTGAACATTGACCTTTCCTGTTAGGAATTCACTGTTACCATCAACCACCTTCCTCCCATGCAGTTTTCTTAGATTTGTTCTAAGTACTGATGAACAGTAGTGTGTGGTGAAACGAATATGCATTAGTCACCCTCTCTTCCTTACTCATCCTTTTTTTCATCAAAAAACTTTTACAAGCTTAGCTAACAGGCCTAAGCTTCGGACTTACTTTTTGGCCTATTTCTTTAAGATAATATTAGCAGTACCCTTAATATTACCATTCATTTTGTACTAATTTTTTAGTTTGTACTAATAATTCAATTTTCTGGTAGTAATACCAGCCATCGTATCATTTCCTTTAATGTTTAATTATATCAAAACCAGTTCCACATCTATTCGTTTTTATGATAGCGTATATTTCACACAATTTCGAAATTCAAATGCCGTTGGCTGTTTTTCTAACACTTTCAAAAAGTGCCGCTCTCTTACTTTCGCAAATAATAATCATAATAATTTAGAGCATGTGATGTAGTGGAAATCATCGGGATTAAATACTTTTTAATTTAACTAAAATTTAACGCTTTAAAATCAGTTTTGTGTAGATCAAAGGAGTACAACAATATCATCCGACTGATAAATTTTTTAAGCTGACTTGTTTTTGTGCTAATCAATTTGAATTACCTGTTAGTAATGTAAATCAATTACCAGTATTTCGTTGTGCCTTTAATTTTTGTTATTGATAAAAACAAATAACCTACTCAAACCCATACTCTTCTTGGCGACTTTTTATTTGAAATTATAGTTTCAATTAAAAAAGTGAAAAACGAACGTTTAGTTCTTATAGGTGAATGGACAATTTCAGGTGGTGCTAAGCCATTGTTGATCACTTTGATTGCGGTAGTGATAACTATGAGCTGATAAAACAGCAATGTTAACTGGACTTTATTCATTTGGATGACTGCTATAAAATCCATGCATTTGGATGACCAATGTACCAGCTCATGCAAACTACGCTGCATGTTGTTAAAATTATACAGAAATGACAAAAACATCAATTAAATATGCTAATGACGACGCAACGACGTGAAGAGAAATTCGAAAGGGAATTTTGTAGCATAAAATCCTTTTTTTTAATTTCTAAATATCAAAACATAATTTTTTCTCACTTTTGTTGACAAAAAATTGCACTTGTTTTTGATTTTAATCAGTAAAGGCCGTGATTTGTCCTTTTTTAGACCGTTTAATAGGATTGAAACTTGACTGATGGATGCGAGTTTAGCACGGTCATTGATCTCTTTATATGAACAGCTAACCGGTTGTTTTGATTCGTGAGACACAAGTAGCACCCATGAATTACTTTTGTTGACATGAAGAAGAAAGGAAACATTCAGCTTTCGTCTTTATCAATCTTTTTAGGGGATGATATAGCAAATATGCGAACCTCACAAGCACGAAGTGTTGTAAGCCGCTAATTCACTCTATCGTATTTTATGCCAAACCAAATTTTTGTTGGGAGCCAAAAAAAATAAGAGAGCCAATCATTATCATAAAATTACCATAGGATTATCATAGAACCACGTTATTATCAGTACCAAAAAATGCAACAGCTCGCAATTCTAAGTTTTCCAGAAAAATCGCAGATACCTTTTCTAACACGCTTTCCTAAATATAAGTGGAACATTCTTACTGCATGGCAAATCTAAGGCTAGTCAGTCATTGAAGCTTTTTGACTACATTACCGATTTATGCCTTCTTTCAACAACTGATCAATTCCGGTTACCTGAGAAGGGCTTGCAGATTTGCAAAGCCGTGAGAAGGGCTTGCAGAATTGCAAAAGAATGGCTAGTCACAGAAATAAAAAGTGATTAGTCCTAAGTTTCCGAGAAAGTTGCGTGAGTTATTCCTGTATGCTGCAATACCGGATGAACATACAATAGCTTAAGAAATTTAACTAATCTTATCGGTACTCTCATGTGTAATTAGAAATCAATGAAGATTTTTTTGAAGCCAAAAGTTTTTCCCAAACACTTAAAAAATTTGTTCCAATTTAACTATACTCTAATCCAGTCAAGTTTTGATCATATCTCTGCCGTAGAAGTTTGGTGGGTTCTAATGATTTTTCCACCTTCCATAATGTGGTCATGGACTGAGAAGAGATCTTGAAATGACGGGAGAAGATTCCGCTGTTTCTTTTAAGACTTTTGCAATTTTCCAACCAGAATAAAGAGAAGGCTGAAGACAATGGTGGCCTAAAAATGGGAACTGAAAATCGAGATTTAAAAAATGGAATACATACAGTAGTATATTAAATATTTGACTGCCACTTTCACTGCTCTTAACAAAGTTTTATTATCGTTTTCAGGTATTACTAACAGAACCTTAACTCTCTATATGTTAATGAGCCAAATTAATGATTCCTTAAGTTTAATCAACAACAGTATAATTCAAATATTAAATGATTTAGTTGATCATCAGGATAGAAGAGATTATTCATGAAAAAATCAGACATCAACTAAAGTTTTTATTTCCATTGGTTCTATGAAAAAGTATTTGGATAAGTCTTCCATTCGATGATAAAGATGAATATACTTCCCCAGAGTTTTGTTCTTTTTGAATCTAAAATCTACAAGAGACAAATTTTTCTACGCAAGCAGATAAATAGTGATAGATGCCTGGAATGGCGGAACTTGATATAAAATTCCCTTTCTTTCCTATTCAGTGCACTTTCAGTCTAATAATTTGTTTTTTTTTTTTGTAGAAATTGGGCAAATGACAAAGTCATAAAGCTGGAGGATAATGAATTGTTATTGCAAAGGTTTGATTAAGATTGCAAAAAAAGAAAAAATCATTCAGTGAAAAAATCTCCAAAAAAAGTAAAACTTCAATTTTGTGTAGGTGACTGATGCAAGAATGTTGATTGAAGTAGTGTTTGTTGAGCTGACAAACTATATGAATTTCACTTTTCCAAAAATGACTAATGTGCTTAAAAGGCTATCCATCGTTGACAATGCAAGAAATTGTTCTAAACATGGCAGGTTGATGAACAGGACTCATTATTATCTCCAATAATAATTGTCATACGGATATCAGTAATTCACATTGCTGAAAAAATATTTATTCACCAGGAAAAATACGATGATTGATGAAATAGACTACTGATATGCCAGTTAACTGCCATCAGGAACTAATCAAAGGATAGTAAGTCTTTTGAGATGTTAATTTGTAGTCTGTCAAATTTAAATAAAAAATTTTGATGTTTCGAAATCAAAAAACTATGCGAATTTGGCAACTATTATTACATCGACCGATATGTTTGCTGTTCAATGAATAAATCACAATTCTTTCGAATACTTTATAAAGTGCAAAAACCGTTTTGTTTTGGTTTTTAATTTTAGTTTTTTGCTACATAACTTACCAGTATCTACCAGATGTTTGAACCACTAATTAGAATCTCACTCGTCGAAAAATCTTTGAACCGGTTCTATGTATTAAGGGATAATCTTGCAAACAAAAAATTTCCCAACAACATTGCTAAAATATGAAAATAAAATAAGGGATGTGTGTAAGGGATTACAAGAATTTAATTAGCATTAAATTAAATTCCTAAAAGTCTCGATTACATCGTTTTCGATACCATCCGATTGAACCAAGGTAGTAGATTGTTGAAATGCAAAAGCTCAAAATAATACGGCTCAAAAACTTGAAAGAAATGTAAGACTGATTATTAATAATGGAATGAGATGAAGAAGGGATTGCAGAATGCCTTATCAATGCCTCAGAACAAACTTTTTGTAGTATTACTCAAGTCATAAACTTGGAATCTCTTCATCCGTTATGCTTTAAAATCCTGTAAATTGGATCCTAATCGGTAATCGAAGGATCATTGAAATAGTTTCTTTCATATGGTCATCAATAGATGATACAACGAAAATAAGATAGAATTTGTTCCTCTTTGAATCCATCTTTTACTTCGGAACCAAATTTTTCTCAACACAATAGAAACACACGAGCGAAGGTCTAATGCGCTTTACGAGAACAACAAATAGTTTAAATCTACCGAAAGAAATGAACGGTAGGGATATGCATATGCATTAGAGTTGTGTAATGAAATTGGTTGATTGCATGAGGCGGAAAAAGGAATATGTATTTCCTCTTTTATATTTGTTTATCACGAATCTGAATTTTTCTGGCACCGTTATCAACGAACTCCGCCCGCTCCATCCTATCTATTCCGCCTTCTTTATTCTGCCATCTTAGTGAAAATGTCCCGAAAAGAAGTTCTTAGGATGTGAAATACCTCGTTTGCATGCCATCATAATATTCAGCTAGCTGCTTTTGATGTTATTTACATCTTCCAGTTTTTGAACAGGAATATTTCCTGGTGAGAATCCGAAAATTTAAAAAGGTAAAGCATCAAAAATCGAAATCGAAGAGCACTGTGAGACGAAAGGAGTTAATTATTTTCTGGTTATAGAGAGGAATGTGCTAAGGAACGAAAATAAGGAGAACTAATCTTTTTTCTTTAATCATTTGGTCAGTATTGATATCCAACATGGTGGATGACCACTGCATATTTCCCATTTTATTCTTTGGCTTTCTTTGTCCCAAACTTATCCTAATTCACTTCTGTTTTATCAGTAGTACTTGTCGATAAGAACGCAATATAATGCTCAGCTGATTGGACTCTTATCGATAGTTATATAAAAGTGATGATTACAATGATATCTCTCTTCTCTTGGCACCTTTTTCCCTCACTACACAATATCTAAGTAGTTCTCCTATATCGAAAAAATTGAGTTTTGAGTTTCCCCTTTAAGGTTCGCAAAATGTCATCTGCCTCCGTCGCATACTTGAGATTGTCAATATCGATAGTAAAAATGGATACAGCATTTATATTCTTAACCAAATAAATTTGTAGCGTTTAAAAAAAAAAAAACGAAATTCATTCCTATGTGATCGATATATTCCTAATGCTGCTCTCACTCCATATATCAAACCAAAAATGTCATGTAAAACATAAATTTATCAAAACTTTAAAACTATCACCGAAAGATTATCTTTTGAAGGAAGCAACGAAAATTGTAAATGTATGCGAAAAGTAAGCAGAAAATAAAAGTAAACATTATTTGAAAACAATTTTTAGCGCAACAAACTTTCATTAGATGAATGAAAATTATTATAATATCCAAAAGAGTAATCTCTTTCATTTACTTCTTGTTTATGACTTCAGATGATTGCACTTCCACGATAATTTTTTTTTCCTTCCTTCTCCAAAGCTTTTACAAATCCAGTTTTTCAATCATATATGCACAGCAATACGGTAGATATGTCCGATAAAAGTCGCAGAACCGGATTGTTATCGTCCAAATTTGTTAAAGAAACCGGTCGTTGTATACATGTACAACAAGAATTAAAAAAGAAAAAAATCACAGTTTTTAGCGATTATTTGAACTAGATTTATTCATTTATAGCAGTTCATTCTGCGTTTCTTAACATCATTACGCTACAATTTTACTTAAAACAACAGCAATGACAGCAAGAGTATTTGTAGAGAGGATGGTATTCCACATATTTAAATCTCTTTTTCATTTTGACGATCTGGAATTTCATTGTTCCAATAAAAAAATCTTCAAATCTCTAACAGATAGTTTTTGACTGATTTAGTTTTAAGAAATATCTGCTTATGAAATTCAAAACGTTATCCACTCAAATTTCGGGAAAAGGGTTCAATTCCGGTGGTTGAAATTAATGCTTCAAATTAAACATAGTGATAATGATCGCTTATTAGATGATGGAAGTCGTAAAATCTAAACAAACCTTTGATTGTTGGAACTAGAAAGAAAACATTGTAATTTTTAAAAATTTAAATTTAGAATAGTCCTTCCTTCATAACTGACAATTGCCTGACAGAAAATTGATATATTTCAAAACTGGAAGGGCAATCAGTTAATCAATCACAACTCATTCCTGCAAGTAAATTAATGAGGCAACAAGTGCAAGCCTATTCTGAATATCTTCCACGAAATGAATGAAAAATTGTTCACGAGGCTGTTTAATCTTAGGCTTTCAACTTGGTCACAATCTTCCTCTCTCTATTTTCCATATTGTATGATCATCTTCTATTTCCTTTGTTCAACAAATATAAAAGTGAATTTCAACTGAGATAGTTGCATTGTTTGTTAATAATTCTGTCGTGAGCGTTTTGCACTTTCAGTTGATTAAATTGTTATATATCTGATATATACTTAACAGTTGAAACCGTTTGGTGACAAATGAGCTCGCAATATTAACGGTGTTTTCCCATGGATGGCCTCTTTTATCTGATAGATAAAATACTTATATCAGTTAATTAAGACAGTACTGAACGCTCTTAATTCTTAATCAATGAGGAATTCCTTTAGCAGTATATTTTTTATACTTCCTTTCAACAGTTTTGATGAAAAGTCTCTAAAATTTGACGCTACTCAAAATATTTATGCATAACTGTCTCTGATGTGCGGTAACACTTCACGTGGGGAGTGTATTGTCTGAACGATCGAGTGGACCTACTGAATTCATGATAAAAAGATACTATTGTTCGAGATTGTATTTCAGCAAACAGTTACAGTTTGCCACTCGTAGAGTGGTGACAGATGACACTGGAAACTAAAGATTGCGACCGACAACTACAAACAATACCGCTAAATATTTGCACCAATTTGAAGCAAGAACTGGAAACAATTGACCAATCCTATTTATCACATACTGGATTCACATCTAAGTCAGAAGAAAACTATGCAATGGTGATACTTATTTTTACAAACTATTGTCATTCAAATAATTAAAAATTGTATTCATTACTTAAGATTTTATAGTCGAATGATCGAGTTTGTAACGTAGTTTGAATTCAACATAATTTAATCAAAATTGTTACTCAAATATTTGTAACTGTCTGAAGCACTCCGAATACAAGAGTTGTTGATAATATGATTTTGTGAAGTCGAAAAAACAGGCTGAAAATTTTCTAAATGATAATGCTCAGGAAAGTTCTCAATCAGTCTCGGTACCATCAACATCAACGCATCCCGATTCAGTATGGCAACGTAAGGTGCATGCTTATGTAGCATCATCGTGTCAGGAAATATTGAATGATGATGACTTTAATCAGAATTTGAAACGAGCTCTGGAGGCAATTCAAGCTGGCATACAACCAATACGAATTGCAGCTGGGAGTTCCGGTAAAATCTTGAAAATTAATAAAGCTCTCTTCATTTATAACTTCCTCATAACTTTCTGTGCTGTTTTCTGTTTCAGTGAACGAAGATCGGAAAACTCATTGCCATTTGGACGCGCAGACTTCGTGAAGCTGCTAAACCTTGAAAGTCCTGGTAGTGGTACTATTCAAGAGAGTAGTAAGTTAAACAATGATTCATTTCAGGATCATATTTTGTACGTGATATCAATTATCAGAAAATAGCAGTATTCAAACCGAAAGATGAGGAACCATTTGCACCGCAAAACCCTAAATGGCCAAAATATTTTCAACGTATGCTTTGCTTTTGTTGTTTTGGAAGAGCCTGTCTTATACCGAACAATGGTTACATGTCAGAAACTGCTGCTTCTCTTGTTGATGAAAAATTACAGGTAGTTTTTGGTTTCTTTTTTTTACTTTAAATATAATTCTTCTTCCTTATTCAAAAGAATTTTCAAGAATTCTCCTCATAATTAATATATTTGGTTGTTTTCGGAACAATCTTCCGGATGTGTGAAGTATTGTTTGTTTGAAATCATATTACATATTGAGTTTGTTTGAAACATCTTCAAAGATCGAGATTTTGGCAGAAGATGCCAGCTGAGATTGTAAACAACGTACTAATAAGCAATTGGGATAGTTGCAAAAGCTGTAATACTGATGAATGAAGTTTTCATCAAGTTGGTCATCCCACGGGTCAGTTATTTGTTCATCGTTTGGATCCGTTTCACTGGTAACAAGGTCGTAGCGATTTCCACATAATGTAATTCCCTTTACCACAAGAACTAATATGTCATCGAGCACATAATTTTTGTCTCAAATTTTTGTTTTAAACCAACCAATTATTTAATAGATGAAATGAAAAATGTTTCAGCTCCATATAGTGCCAAAAACACGAGTTGTGAAACTTGCTTCACCGGCTTTTTACTACAAAGATGGATCAGGCGTAAAAAGCAAAGGACCGAAAGGAAAAGATGGCAGTTATCAGGTAGTACGGGAAGATTCTATTTGTAAAATGGCTTTAAACGATGCTGAAAATAACTTTTTGTTTATCAGTGGTTCGTTTTGTCTATTTCGATCGGTTCGCTAATCGAATGGATTCCGAAAATTGTAGAACGAATGGCATCGCAGTCCAGATGTTTTCTAATTCTAAGACATTATGAATTTAAACTCAGCGAGCGAACTTCTTCAAAGGAGACACTGTATTTAATGATTTAAAGGGTGAAACCGATTGAATTGTGAACTGAAAAATTTACCTCGCTGTAGCTATTCCTGAATGGATATGTAAGTGCCTCCGATATTATACCGCGGTGGAACAAAGGCAGTGGTTTTTGTCCATTAACAGCAACGGAAGTGGAACGGTTCAAGTATCTGTTCCAGAAACTGTGCGTACTCGATTACGTTATTCGCAATACAGATCGCCATATGGAGAACTGGCTCATCAAGTATGATTGGAATGATACCTCAATGCCTTGGTCACATCCTTTTTGCGATATTCTAAAAACATAATATCCTAAAGAACAGGCTGAATTTCGAAAAACCATCTTTCGAATTCTTTCCTTGAAGTTCCTTTTCGCTTCCATTTCTCCTATACTTTTCGCGATGAGAAGACAATTATTTAAATGGTGTAAATAATTACTTGTGCAGGTATGAACCAGGGAAAGTATTGGAACTTGCTGCTATCGATAATGGTTTGGCATTTCCAGTGAAACATCCTGAAACGTCCAGTCGTTTACGACAATTTCCTTTTGCCTGGGCACAGTTGTCGTGGGCTAATTATGTTAGAATATTCATAAGTACTTGTGCTAGATTAAATGGAAAAGAATTGACCTTTTATGAACATCTTAGTGAGATGTTTCTGTCGAGACTGTTAATCGCTATTGCTAATAATAGTAGTGAGTGAGCAGTTTTGCATAAAATAATCGATCAATCTCGTCCGATTTACAGCCGTGGAATGAAGAATTACGGATATTTCTACTCCAGTTGTTAACACCACAATTTGTGCAAAGCTTATGCGACGATATTGCCACTTTATTCAAGTATGACCGTGATGTGAATCGCTTTTTAAAGTATAGCCAGTTGCGGGTACTCAGAGGCCAGGTTTATATATCTTATTTTGTGTTGTATTTGAATGCAATAAGCTATCAGACCAAAACAAACATTAACACTCTTTCCAACAGTTTATGCGAAGTGGTTAGGTCAAATTACTCAAGTTTGGGTCAACTGGACAAAAGTTGACAAGGTACGCATGTCTTTCATATTGTTATGGATCTCATCAGCTTACACCAATACTATTCAAAAGGTTTAGGGAAACAAAAAATTGTGCTAACCTCAGAAAATCATTTATTAGAAGGATTTCAAACAATAGCAAAGACAACTATGTAATGTAATTTTTATTGATATAAACTGTTAATACTAGAATAACCAAACTAATGTAATATCGATATACATAATTACAAAATACCCAATATTTAATTTAGATTTGGAACTTACGATTAGCTTTAATGATGAAGGAGTCACCAGCAAAAATGGTGAAACGGCCGCTAGTTCTTGTTTCGCGACGTTATCGTCGCTACCCACCTGATGATGACTGGAATCGGGCATTTCGAGTAAAACCAGCTGATTTTGGTAATCGAGGATGTTGTTAAGTACAACTGTAGCTGCAAAATTCATCCAATTTTTAATTTGTCTTGTTATTATTTGAATATTCTAAATACTCATGATGTTCATTAGTTCTGCATGTGAATTACAAAAATTTAAGAAAAATCTGTGATGTTTACCTTACTTTTATTGGAGTTTGTCTCTCATTAGCACAGTTAATGCTATCTGTGATCGAATTATTGCAGTATTTCAAAATTTGGTGAAAGAGGTTCAGTTGAGAAAAACAGTTCAAATCAATGGGTCACAATGACCATTTGATACAACTTGCGAGAAGTCAGTTTCTGAAGAGACTGAACTCGAAAACTCGAAACTGTTACAGATTTTCTTTTTATTATCAGACAGATGCAATCAGTAAGCAAATCAGCAACAAAAAAAATATATTAAACAAACATAAAACCAATACATAATTTGTGAGCTGTTAGGAAAAGTGATAATTAACACATAATATTGCGCACAACGACAAATATAATAGCTTAAAGTTTGGAAAAACTGTAAATTAAAAAAATTTTCCTTACAAAGTGCAAAATTAAAAAGTAATGAATAACAGCCGTAAAATAAATTCATTAATTTTATTCGTTTTGAAATCCTTTGCCAAATTTTATTTTTCAAACCAGCATTGCATAGCACCATTTGTCAAATAAGTTTGTATGCGACTTTCTACTTTCAAACTCGACAATCATTAAACAGATTATCCATTCAAGTGCATATTTACAATAAGGTAATACAGGCAGAGCATAAAAACTTGAAAAGCAACTGGTCGAGAAAATGACAATGACCATAAATTGGCAGGTTTACCGTACTGGAAAGCAACATCGAAGAGCTGATAATAACAGCAGAAGGAATAAACATAACAAATGTGTATCAGATTATGCTTTCATCGACATATATATATATATATATAATGCAACACAGGTTTGTTATTTAGGTGATGGTGTAAGTCACGTGGCGGGAACGAATTTAAAAAGCAGTAATATGCATTTTCAAAATCCTATATATATAATATATAGGGTGATTCTCCCAACATTTAAAGCCGTTATACTTGTGTAATGAGCATAATGATGAGACACATGCACACACACACACACACACACACACACACACACACACACACACACACACACACACACACACACACACACACACACACACACACA